CATCTGCAAAAAGCTGACTGGAGTTGCAGATGTCTTTATTCGCTCTAACGTAAACTCCTCTGTAGTGCCTCAAAACGGCACACCTGATGCTGATTTTATATCTTCCAAGGTTGCCTTTTGAGATTGCCTTATAAATATTGCTACATTAACATCTGGCATATTAAATGGACAGATATTTATCTCCAAATTTCTTTCATGTAAAATGTAGTAATACAATATCTCCAAAAAAACAGTCGTTTTTCATATTTTGCATTTGTTTTTATTTTATTTAGAAAAAGTTAAGTCACAGAAAGTTGTGAAATATAATTTGAATGATAAAATAATATAAATACAAAGTGTATAATTAGTATAAATGGATCTTATTTTTCTAATCATGCTCTCTTCACTTTATTGGCTGTGACTCTTTGAGCAGTTCCCCTCTGACACATTTGTATTTGTCTGTAAAAATGTTTCAGGTGGTTGCTCACACCAGAGGTTTTAAGTATTAAGGCCCTCTCTTTGTCTTTCCCTTTCTTTACCTTTCTGTCTCTCTTTCTATGTTCCCTTCAGCCCCTGCTCTTTCTATCCTGAAGTCACGGTAATCTGTGATCATGGCATTAATAGACACAGACAGGCGGAGGCGAGGTATCACAGCCCCTCCTTCCTCTCTTTGCAGCACGAGTGGCAGCCCTATTGTCTGCTGGCGTCGTTGGAGTAAAGTCCTGAATTGCCCCGCTTTATTCAAATGATATCACATTTGATAAAGTCATCTCTCAACGAAGAACATCATATAGCTCTGACCCTATTGTAACAGGTATACAGTATCATTAAACACTGCTTTTAGAAGATGTAATCAAACCTGGTCTTTTTGCACCCGCTCGCACCCCTCAGGGGAAGTACGTTCCACCCACAGACCAAACCCTTCAGAGTCCTGAGTCACACCCTAGCTCTCTCTCTTTCTGAGCCCCCACAACACTTCGAGCCAATCGGCTCCTTCCCCAGGACCAGAAGAGCCCTCTTTCGGCAAGGTCAGTCTCAGGCCTGCAGCCGCTTTCTGCCTGAGGGCTTCGCAAATTTACTTTCATTTCATCAAGCTGTTATTGCTGTGAATGGAATAATGAGCTGATAAATATTGCTCTGGGTTTAGATTTTTGGTTTGCCATTTCGTCTCAACATTTATTGACTTTTTCTAAATTAGGGGTATTAATACTGTTCATATTAATAATGCAGTTTAATAAATTAATTGACATTTATTATTAATACAATATGTATGTTTATATTATTGTGTTATTATTGATAATAATAATGCTATTTTAAAATATTTTAATGATTTATTATTGTTGTTGTGGTTTATCAGCAATAATTTTCCAGAATACATCATACTTTAATAATAATAGTAATAATAATTCATTATTATTATAAATATAAATCATTATTATTCTTGTTTTTGTCAATGATACAAATTCCCAAATACATTATTAATAATATAAAATATTTATTATATTCATTATTGTCAGTAATAATTATAATACAATTCCAAATTACATTATATATTTTAATAATAATATATGCTTAAATATTCTAGTCATTACAGTAAATAACTGCTTTCTTGTTTATTAAACTGCAAAGCTCCTTATTCATTGGAATGTTCTTTAATAGCTTGTAAGTCCATTTCCTGTCTTCAATGGAAGTTAAGGTGTCTGTACCGAAGTAAGTGTCAAATAGGCATTATCCTTTTCTATTGCAGTGCCCTTGATGTCTATACAAAGCCTTGCCCGGCCTGCTGTGGTTCCCTTGAGCATCCAAGGGAGTAGCAGCTGCTCGCTCAGTGTGTGTGTGTGTGTGTGTGTGTGCGCTCACAGACAGTGCTGTGTATATGTTTTCTACTGCTATTAATCATGAGTGCCCTGGCTAAACACTGTTTGAGTTGAATCTGTAAACATTGATAGGCGTCCTTGTGCAACTGGAAAGGTTTGATATGGGCTTTAGGCACATGTTTATTTCATTTCTAGGGAGGAGGGGGACTTAATGCTCAATAGGATGTGAGGTCACGGGCTTGGTACATATGCCCCAGCATCAACATTTCTATTCAGTTGAAGTCTTATTCATTATAATATGTCAAAATATCATTCCTAAATATCTTTTCCTCAAATTAGTTCTGCTCTACACATTAGATGTCAAGAAATGAGTTTTTATCAATTAATCTGAACCTGTAATCCTGTTTTCTTTTAATCAATCAACTTGCTACTTTCCATGAAGTCCAAAATCATTGGTCGTTGCCTCCTTAAAAATGGCTTTATAAATGTGCACATTTGAAATGGTTGCACGGGCTGCTTTTTTTAGTAAAGGAGAAAATTATCGTTCGTTTCTGCTTTTTAGCTGCAAGGTCTTGGGTGTTTGACCAAGCACACTTGTCTGTTCTTCAAAAATTGTTTTCCAAGCCGGTTATGTTCATGTGCTCTGGTGGTGTGTATTTTTCCACTCACAAATGTGAATCTCAATCGAGTGGTGCACTTCAGAGAGCAACTCAGCCTAAGCCAATCAGCAGTGTCGCTGGGCCAAGGCTTGGTATGATGCCGTTTAGAATGCAGGTGACAAAATGCCCCCCGGAAACTTCCATTTGCCAGTGGGCATCTGATTAATCACGATTATCATACCATTATCATACAATCACACCCTAATCGTACATGCAGGGTCCCATCTGTGGTGTGTGTGTGTGTGTGTACGGAATATTTTCTGTGTAGAAAGGTGCTTAAATATTAATCCTGTCTATCATTTTAAACTTCATTTTACAACTGCATTGAGTATTCCATTGAATTGAAATGGATGAATTGCCTCCAGTGAAAGATCTCATTAATTCCATTAATTGCAGGAGAGAATGGGTTGGCTGCTGTTTGTTTGCACTGGCTGAATGACAGCTCTGATAGTGAGTGAGGCAGATAAAGGCTCTTTGCTATGGATCAGTGGATTGCCCGCAAGTTTTTAATTCAGTGATGTCAGAAGTCACTTAAATGGCTGTTGTGAAAAGAAAAATATCAGACCGCTGTCTTGTTAAAACACATCACAAATAATCCAGGTCATAGAAGTTCAGTTTAGAAAATGATGCACTTTCTATTCAGCTCCGTTTTGATTTTGGCTGCAGATATATTTCTTTTTTCTTTTCTTTTTTTGCATATTATAATATTTAGATTATTAAATAGTTACCTATCCTGCAATAAATTATGCAGAAAACTCCGAAATTATTTTTAAGTGAATCATTTTGCCCTCATTTGACCTTCTTCAGCAGTAGCCCTACAGCACTTTTTAATTTAGAGTGCACTGAATATAAACATCCCTCTTATGACTCTCTGATTCCACAACAGCATCTCTCCTTCAGGAAGGAGCCCCAGCGGCATGACCGTCTTTCCTCTCGATCTGTGCGGTTTCAATGGCAATTCTAATACTGAGAGTGGAAGACAACAGGCAGAGCATGATTCTAATGAAACATCCTCCCATTGTCCTCTAAATCATCTCCGTTATTGAATGCAGTGCAATCCACACCTGGCTCCAACCCTGGAGAGATTCGGCTGCCTCTATCTCTCCCTCTCCTTCCTGCTCCGTTGCTCTATCTCTCTCTCTCTCTCTCTCTCTCTCTCTCTCTCTCTCTCTCTCTCTCTCTCTCTCTCTCTCTCTCTCTCTCTCTCTCTCTCTCTGTAAATGCAGGATTAGCCATTGAAAGAGCATGCTTGGTTATCAAATTCATACAAACGGCTTTTGCTTTTGTGTAGTGCTTTTAATTAAATCCTACTGGGGGGCTGGAACTGACCTTTTGAGTGGAGAACTGATTAAGTGCACAATGGCCAGTTATTTCTGAACCACAGTCTGTTGCATAGAGCTACTGATTAACTTTCTGTTTAGGATGACTTGGCTTGAATCTCATTCACACACAGGCCAAGGAGAGGAGAAAAAAAAAGGAGTAATCAATTTTGGTTTAGAATGTAGATTAAGAACGATAGCATCAGGTAATTAACACGGGTAAGGGTGGCATTTTTGTATGTGAAGTACAGTGAAAAAGGGCTTATTTGAGAACCGAGGTGGATATTTAAGAGGATAAAGGTGAAATCAGGGTGGTTAGCTTTTATTTGAAAGGATTAATTTGATTTATATGATTTATATTGAGGAAATATGATTGTTATCATGCCCCTGAAAAGCTCTGTGCAATTATGTCAGATGTGCGTAATCATAATGGCAAGGCTGCCAGCAAAGTTTCCTCTAACATTTTAAATCTCTCCTTAAATGTGAGCATACTAAAGACAATCATTGTACTGTATGTTGTCTTGCCAAAACAATAAAAATAATAATTAATTAATAAAAATTAACATAATAGGACGTTTACCATTATTTCAGTCTTCAGTGTCACATGATCTCTTAGAAATCAGTCTAAATGCTGATTTGGTGCTAAAACCCCCCATTTATTATCATTATGAAACTTTTTTGAATTCTTTGATAAATAGAAAGTTCAAAAGGACAGAATTTATTTGCAAATAGAAATATTTTGTAGCATTAAAAATGTCTTTTATAAACTGTATACAATATAAACTGTCACTTTTCAACGATTTAATGCATCCTGTTTAAATAAAAGAATTAATCTATTTTTTAAAAATGAGACTGTTCCCAAATGTTTAAATGGTTAAATAACAATGCTTATTAAAAATATACTTTTATTTTCTACATTTTCTCTATTTTATTTATTTATAATATTTAAAAAATATATAAATATAAATTCTTATTTTATCATTTTTTTCCCTCTTCCTTAATTTGCTTTAGAGGTGATCAAATTACAAAGAAACCTGCAGAATAATTTTGTTTTATTTTCTTCATAGTGTCTTAAAGTAAATGCCAGAGATTTATAGATGTTGATGTACTACTGTCATTTATTTTTTCATGCACTGTGGTCTACATGGATTGTTTAATGTTTATTTGAATAAAATGTCAGAATATGTGTTTTTTGGTGATCAGTTGTTGGTGTTTGTCTGTATTAGGTTGGATCTGACTTGCGAGAGGGTCTCTCTCCTCAACCCTCTGGGCATCATCTTAAACACTCCTGCAAGGGACAGCCTGCCCCAGAGGAGACACTCACCAGACCCTGTCGCCGTCCTGGTGAGACCACATATCCCAACTGCATACAGTGCTCCAGACGGTTGAGCAAACACATCCGGTCTCGGAAGGTGTATGCTTAGATGTGCACACTCTTTTCTTATCTTTTTTTCTAACCGAACCATCTGTTACCATGCTGCTCTTACAGTTGGGACACTTTAGAACCCTGTAACCTGAATTTATACACTAATGTTTAAAAGTTTGGGGTCAGTATGATTTAAAAAAAAAAAAATCATTTAGCAAGGGCACATTAAATTAATGACACGTATCAAAGACATTTATAATATTACAAAGGATTTCTATTTCAAATAAATGTTGTTCTTTTAAATTTACTATTCATCAAAGAATCTTAAAGCTGCAGTCTTTAAGCTTTAGCTTTTTTGGGTTAAAAATTATCCAAAATAAATATTTGAGAAAATACATAACCAGCCAGTGTTCAAAACTATCTGCTTGCCTTTGCTCGATTCAAAGCGGTAAGCTTGTAATAATGTTTTTAATTCCAGTGGTACTGGTGGATTTCCGCGGGAGATTCGAGCATGTCTTTGCGTCATTACGTCACATCTGTACACATAAAGGAGTCTCGGCTAGTAGGCTATATTGCGAGTGAGGATGCTGGAGGTGGAGATTTATAGCCTTTTCTCACAGCACTTGATATAATTTAACTTATCAATTTGATGGCGGATCCAGAAAGGTTCAAACAACAATCACCAGTGACAACAGATTCACCCGCTGTAAAATGCAAAAGACTTCGGAGTGGCTACAGAAAAAAAGAGACTGCAACCGGACCCATGCGAAAACAAGGATACATATCGGAAGGACATTACATGTAGTCACGCAATACTGACGTTGTTAACATTAACAATTTGAGAACAAAGTATAATTTGCACGGTTTTGCCTGATATGATAAGCGATTTTTAGATTTAATCAGCGCGATTTACTGCAATGTCAGAACCACAACAAAAGTGGATGTTGCTTACTTTTTCAGATGACATTTTACGGTGAAAATTATTATGTTGGTCATAAGGTTGCAAAATTCTGGGAATTTTCAAAGTTGAGGGTTGGCTCTTCATAGGGAACTTAAATATAGTTGAGGAAAGTATATTTTAGCATAATCTTGACTAAAACAAACAGATGCCATTCAAATACACTTGAATATCCATGCCATTCCTCAATCACATGCACATAGAACACTTGAGACCACACCCCCTACTGGCACTGTGCATGCCTCCATCACATGTACAGAAGCCCAAAGCACAAGACTATTGAAGGCACACATTTGAGCCTGTGGACTAAACAAAGTGAAGTAAGTTTTGATGATATTATGGGGAAATATATTTATTAAATGTTTAAATTGCAAATATCACATACAAATGTATTCATCTAGTAGCAATGCTGATAAGTTAGATGCTAAATAAGCTAGCACAACTTTATTTACCACATAAGGGAGATGCTAACTACCTCATGTGGCTGTTTTTCTCTGCCTCCTGCAATATGTTTTCAAGATCATTCCAGTTGTTTAGCTAGCCTTACTATTTATGTATCTGTTCATGCCATTGCATTAGTATTCTTACTAGGGTTGGGCCGATGGACGATCGTCCATCGTAATGGCTGACAGACATCACGATGTTTAGCTGACACTAAATAGTAGTTTTAAATTTATAGTTATTTACACTGTCTCTGATATGAATAAAAACCGTCGTCAAATATCATTTGAATGTTTTCTTATGACTTTTATATTTATGCTTGGATATGATACAATGATCGATTACATTACAATGAATTCCCAGTTAGTTCCCTTAAATTCCCATTAATTCCCATTATTCCCAAGGAAAGTTTCTAATATGGAACATTTCCAAAATTTCCCAGCTTTACTTCCCATGGAAATTTACGGGAAACTTTCCGGAAATTTACCAGAAATTTTCCGCCCCTTTGCAACCCTAGTTGGTCATACTTCCAAAAGGAATAATCTGTGATTCTGAATGCCAGTATCCACAACGGCGCGGTGACTGACAGCTGCACACTCTACTCAAACATTGTGTTCATCCGCGCTGTGCCGTGTCAAAGTACAACTCACGTTAAGTTGATAATTCCGCGAATGACTGCAATTGCAGATTTCGAACAGAGATGGCGACAAAGAGGAAAAACTCCGGACTGCAGCTTTAAAAAAAAGTATCATGGTTTCCACAAAAATACTAAGCAGCACATAATGTGAATTAGATATATGCATGCATTTACAATGTTTTGAATTACATAGAAATGCCTATTTGCCTCTTTGACCTTTGCTCCATCCTCAACACCTGCTGTATGCGGTCAGACACCCAAGGTGGAAACAGAAGTAGAGATGTCACATTAGATCAGCGGAAATATGGCAATATGGCACCCGCATGTTCACTTCCCCTCTTTTTTTGTCTTTGTTTCACCCCTCCTTCAAAGAGCCAGTGTTCCCAGGACAGCATATGTTTGATCAACAACACTCTGCTTCAGTCTTGGACACTAATCCGCTCCTCGCTGGACCTGCTCCCATGGGCTCCATTCATCCTCCAGGATATGAGAGTGACCCCTGGAGGCCCAGTCCAGCTTTGCAGGGTCTCACGGATCTGTCAAAGTCTGGGTCTCCCCACCGTGGCCACTACTCTCTCCCGAAAAATCCATCTGCTCTGTCTGGCTGTCCCTTTTCTGTTCCCTCTGGACCACAAGCACAGGTAATATTAAAGGATGTAGCATAATGACCACTCCAATTTATGAGACGACTCTGGCAATTGTGAATCGAAAGATTAATGTACGCCTTATATAGGCTGTTTAACCTCTTGTGATGCTTAAGGTATTTTTGCCCCATAAATACTCTTTAGATCCTTTACTTTATCTCTAGGTGTAGTGTACTTCTCATAATTAAATACCAAGTGCGTATTTGCCCTATTTATAAGTTTTGTTGGAGCTGTGGCCTAGTTTGTGTCAAAAATGCCAACAAAAAAACCCTGCTAATATCATGTAAATACAATTTTTAATGTCTACTCTAAATACATGAATGCACTTCAAAGTATAAATTTGGATGAATAAGGGTAAGTCTGTTTGTTCTCATGAACAGATGGACCCATAGGCTACGCTGCCCTCTAGTGTTTTTAGGCAGTTTTGGGCAATTACTCTGTTTCCAGTTTGGCTTCATTAGGCTGAGGCAGAGCTGGATCATTTCTACATCAAGGTCATTACATTTTGCTTACTGTTGGCCTTTTTCTTAAACTTATCTATACACACACACTGATAAGATGACCCCAGTATTATTTGTCATCCTTGAATCTTTATTTATTTGTACGCCATTGAGTTGTGGAGCTGACCATGTTTATATGATATTTTATTTATATGTGTTGATTCTCACATTGAGTATTGTAGCTAATTTTACAGATTTTATTTCCATTTTAATCAAGTTTCTTTTTCAAAGTATGCCGCAATTCAATTGAAATGTCATCAAACAACAGCTCTTAGATTGGAAGTACTATAATGCCCTTTGTCTTAAACTGTGTGGCCAATCACAAAGCAAATCACAGTGTCAATCTGCCTTCATTAGTAGTGCCAGGGAATTGTGTTGTTTAAAGCTGAAACTCATTTAGTTAATTTTAGTTAGATGTATAAAGAATTAAATGACTACAAATTTGAGTTTTTTAATGCTGCACTTGACTAAGGTAAGATAGTTAGGAAGATATTCTGTAAAGGAATATAGTTTTTGATCTTTTTTGACTCTACTGTTAAAAAGTTTGGGGTCATCATTTATTTGTTAAAAAATAAAGTATAACAGCAATATTGTAAAATATTACAATATTATATATATATATATATATATATATATTATTAATAATAATAATTATTATTATTAAGGTAATATTTTCATGTGAAAGCACATAAATTATTTCAGTCTTCAGAGTCACATGATCCTTCACAAACCATTCTAATACGCTGATTTGGTGTTCAAAAAACATTTCTTATTATTATCAATGTTAAAAACATTTGTACTGCATAATTTCTTTGTGGAAACTGATACATTTTCTTCAGGATTCTTTGATGAATAGAACGTTCAAATGAACAACATTTATTCATGATGGAAATCTTTTCTGACACTTTTGATCATTTTAATGCATTCTGACCCCACACTTTTGAACTGTAGTGTGCTTCTAAGATGTATCTTTTATTGGTAAAGGTCATCCTCCCATTTATTCACTCATCGTGTCTCTACGTGTAAAATTTTGATATAACTTTACTAATCCAGCAAGCCTCACTGGCTGAGCTTTTATTACCAACTGCAGCACATCTCTAATAACAGCCTCCATCCTACTCAGAAACCTGCTGTGCTGGTAAGAGCTGTTGCCAGGATGGTGCAGAGTGCCAAGCCAATGGCTGTTGCCAGGGGGATGCCCATTGCTGCAAGGCAGCCAGCAAGTGCCAAGTCTAAGATATCTGCCAAAACTCCGCCAGCACCAGGGATGGTGGGAAGAAATGTGGGTCAGAAGGTCAAGGTGAAGCCCCAAACTCCTCCAGCTACTCAAAAACATCCCGCAAAGCTGCTAAACATGACAAACAACAAAGAGGTCAGTGTGATGTTTGTGACAGTCACAACTTTATAAAAAGAAAACCTTGTTGAATAAGACATTAGCTGTGTTGTAATGTTTAGCATCATTTCACAGTTTTTGAATCAATGTGTTTGAAGGCTAGGAGTCTCTCTCTCATTTTCTCTGGACTTTGATATAAATGTGTGTGGTAATAGAGCCTTTCACCCCCATGCTCAAGGTCAGGCAGTCTGTGTGAAAGCTGTTCATTAGACCAATTATTACCTCTAACAATGCAGTCAGGAGGAAATCAATAGCCACTGTCAGGGCTGTTTCAAAGCCTTGCTCTGAAAATCAATCAGTCCAGCTTCTATCTGCATTCTCCTCCTTCAGTCATGTTCAGACAGCAGACATTTGCCAATATCAGCAAGGATTTTTGTTTGAAAAAATGCTTTAATTATATTTAGCAGAATGTCTGCGCCTAAAGCAATAACAGAAAACGAGCAGTTACACCTTATAGTGATTTTCTTTTTAATGAAGTGTTCATTATAAAAAAATGTACTAATAAATGTTTAAGCTTGCTGTGATTATAGCATTGAGTTGTTTACTTGTTTAACTGGTCTGTTTTGTTATCCTCAGCATGATGAGGTGTCCTACAGGCAGAGGCTGAAGAAGCAGATGCGACTGAGGGAGCAGGTTATCAAACATAAGGAATGGATGCGATCTATGCGGGCCATAAACGAGAAGCATCTGCTTCTGGAGCGCTTCCAAACTGATAGTTCCACTGGACACTGGAACAACAACCAAAATCAACAGAAACAGCCGTGCATCCTGAATTTTTGCCCTCAAAAGGTTTCGCACCAGCAGCCCTTCCATAATCCCCCTCGCTGTCTCGTTCCGGAGCGCCAACCGGAATTCCAGTCTCTGCCTCCACAGCAGCACCAGTACCAGCTTTTAGCACCCGCACTTCAGCCGCCATGGCAACGAGCTCCACCGGCTCGAGGGAATCCATCAGGCCGTGCAGCAGAGATGCAGCATAATCAGCCTCATCAGCGGGGCACAGACAGGGTGATGTTACAGGGGATGGAGCAAATCCCAAATCAGATGAACCAACAGTACAGTAATGACGAGGCCCATGCAGCAGATCCGCAGGTAGTTCGGCAAGGAGGCAAGAGGATATTGGAGCAGAGAACTTCTGAGGGGCCTGGTCCCACCAAAATTACAGTGGTCAATCACTTCAGCCCAGGTGTAAGTACTGTACTTCCACATGAATTACCACATATAACTGCTACTTAGGCATTCATTTGTCAATCTCAAATAACTCTCACAAGTGCTGTGATTCGAGATTTAGAGATATTGGCTTTATTATAGGCTGTTACTTACAACAATACAGTTTATTTTGAACTGTCAGATTAGATTACTGATTACCGGTACTTACAGAACCGATTTTTAAATATTGTTTTATTTCTGCACCAGTGACACAATAATAACTAAATAAACATTAAACCACAAAAAGTATGCATTATGAATGTTTTGATGATAATGATGATATTGTTATTTTTTGTTGTTGTTAACAACAATAATTTACAATGCACATGTTTATATTTTAATGTGATTATTATTATTATAATTATCATTGTTATTATTATTGATGATATTATTACTATAATTATTATTGTTATTATAATTATTATTAAAATATTGATAATGCATATGTTTTTATTACTGTAGTCTAATCATTTTTATTTAGCTTATCTTGCTGTACTGTATGTCAAGCATTTCTGTAACAAAAGCATAAATGGCTGTTATGTAAAGTTAATTGTTTTTAAGTTAATTTTTGCAAACAAACATTACAATATTAAACATGTTTACATGTTCAGTGAATTAAATAAAATACGTAATTTCCAAACTGAATTAAGAAATAAAATCAAATAAATGTAATATATTATATTAAGTATTGAAATAATCGTTCTCCTCCTTTTCCAGTTTGATCACTATTTTTTGCTAACTTTTTAGCATGTTAATACATTTTGGTGCCGTTTCCACAGTATGAATTGCATGTCCATATATTATTGTATGGCAATATGCACATGAATATAGATGTAAAAAAAAATTCCCTTCTATCATTCCTCCTTCCGAAACAATCTCCTTAATTCACCCCATATATGAATTCAATCTTCCCCATGCAACATCACACAACGTTCTCCTTTCATCTCTGTCTTTCCTGTGTAGCCGCCCTTTCTCTCCCTTCTTTCCTTTCCATAACCTGTCCTGAGACGAGAGGCACGCGAGCTTTGGAGGCCGATGAAGATAACAGGGTGTCAGTCTTAATAGAGGTTGTGGTGGTGGTGAGGGAGGGGGAGGGGGAGGGGGGGTTTCTTTGCGGAGAAATATCTGCGGACAGCCGAATCGATGAGGTTGCATTTGACAGAGTGGTGCGGGCCTGCTGAAAGACAGATCAGCAAGATGCTACCCAGGGACATTGTTCCGCTGTCAGTCTCATCCGCGCTGACAATGTTATCTCTCTCCCTCTCTCCAGTATCAAGTATCTTTCAGGTGTTCAGAATTGGATGTCACCCCCTGAAGACGTTCAATTAATCTTTGGTGTGTGTTTGCTGGCATTATGGGTGTGTGTGTGTGGGCACGTTCTCTTAATACCTGTAAATGGAGAGTTGCTAGTATGGCGGATTTGGATTGAAGAGCTTAGCCACAGATAAGGGAAATTAATTTTTCATCAGGAATAATAGCAGGCGTGCCAACAGGGAACACAAAGCAGGAGTGAAGGCGAGTGGGGAATTTGTCAAGTGTTGTCACCCCGGGATAATACTGCTTAGTCTGTGATTGGTGTAATGGAGGGCTGTGATTTCTATGGAGGGGGATTAATCACTTTACACTGTGCTGAGAGCAGCGGAATACAGATAGCGCTGTATCACTGCGTCAGGTTGTGCTTCTTTAATTCGGGATGTCCTTGGGACATGTTTATAGCATAATATGGTCTAAAGTCGTATGCGCACTCAATGCATCAAAACAGGGGTATCCAGAGCAGTAAACACCTTTAACTAAGTATCAGCGAATTTAATGGCCAATAATGTCTAATTTCACTGGTCCTGTTACATTCGGAATTATAATTATTTTGGATGAAAAGTTGAAAACCTCTGTGTACAGTGGAACTTCTAACCATTTGCATTTCTCACTGATGTGCCACTCTTCTCTCCTCTATTGGTTATTCAACTTAAACTGGGCCCTTAAACTTCAGCTTTGAACTTAAACTTCCAACTTGGAAAACTGCTGAACTCCTTGGCTCAAAAGTGTTTTCATTGGTTAATTTATCCCACCCAAATCAGCTTTTTAAAGAAGCTATGTGTTTGTATGGATTAACATTGGGGATGAAAATTCATATGGCAACAAGTTTTTTCCTTTAGTTCACACCATTTGGTGGCGCTAACATACTTAAACTGTTTTGCATTATAGAGTTTGTATTGCATGAATAAACTACGGTTCAGGAGTTTGGGGTCAGTAAGATTTTTTTTATAAAGAGTGATGATAATAATAAGAAATGTTTCTTTAGCACCAAATCAGCATATTAGAATGATTTAAAAAAAAATCCAATATTTGCTAAGGAAAAAAAAGATTTGCCCCCAAATTAAACTAATTCAAAGACATTACATTATAGTGGCAGTAAAGTTTATAGTTAATTACGAGAACCTTGCATTTTGTTCCATTGTGTTGTGCTTCATCGAACTGTTGTTAAATGTGTCTTGAGGCGGATGTTTACACATTCTGTATTGGCTGCTCTCAGTAGGTGTTGTTTGGCTGTAGTAGTAGCTGAAGAAGAAATTGAAGGTGGTTAAAAACTGAATTGCTCTAATTATTTAAATTATTAATTTTTGGGGTATTTTTATTCTGTGTTTTTGTTTATATATATATATATATATATATATATTTTTTGACAACCCTAATACATTGTCTGATAATACCACAGACTGTCTCATAGACCATGTGGGAAAAATCAATTATGTCCAGGTCTGTTGTCCTGCAGGAAATGTTGTGATGCTCTGTCTAACATCATAACATAGTCTGTGGGAGTTCCATTGTTGTACATCACTGTTGGCCAGTTGTTTTGACTGTAGGTCTGGGGATGCCCACTGCTTTCACAGCAGTGTAGTGGTCAGGTGTGACATTGAGGCCCAGCCAGCCGAGAGAGGTGCGGAACTTGAAGCAGAGAGAGTCGCAGGGAATCCTGATTTGTTTATGCTCATTAAGCTCTGAGGTGGGAGGTGGGACACTCGGCAGGATAACAGGAAGGTGGATGCAGCATGGGAAGGTCAGGAAGACACGTGGAAGTTGACTAAAAATACACTGAGTTCAAGTCCATCCTTAGGCCTGCATTCCACCATTACTGATGAAAAAGAGGTTAATAAGAGAGAAGGAGATTAATACTAAGTGCATTTATGTAATTGTTTATTTCAGAAATGTTGAATTTCCTCTTAAATGCGTTTTTATATAGTTTTAGTCAAGTGGAATGTTCAGTGCGCGTTACGTAGTTTGGTCTGTTTTTGTTGCTTTTTCTATCAGAATAAAATTTTGGATAAGAAAAGAATGGGACAGGCACAATAATATTGCCATACATTATCTTTAACATTTCACACAAAACTAAAAGAAAATGACAAGTTTAAGACTATTTTAAGAATATTATTTAGGTACAGATGTATTTGATGCATGTGATCCTATCCATTTTTAACATTCCTATTCTTTTGTTGTTGTTGTTGTAGACTATAAATGGGAGTACAAGTTCTGATCTCTCTTCACAGATGAGTGAAGAGACTAAAGCGGTGACCGAAACAAAGGGCAGAATTGTCACCTTCAGTATGCCTGATTCATCTCCACCTTCAGTTCTGCAATACGGGCTTAAGCTAAACCATCCCAATGAGAAGAGAGGATCTGGCCCTAACCAGCCCCATGACAAGGTAAATGTGTCTCTTCCTTTATCCTGTTGTAAACGTGGGCGAGTGCTGCACTTTATTCTTCGTCCTTCTGGCTCATTTTCCTTATTTCTGTTTAGTATGCCTGTGGAACTTAATCTCATGTTTTAAGGGGAATTTTAACCTTAAGGTGCTGTCACATTCGCTAAATTTTTGGCAATATTTTGCAGGCCAAAGAGGTCAAATGTCCATTTTCGATAGTTTGATACATGAAGCCCAGAAGTCACACTCAAACCAAACAGTTTTCTCTTGATCAATGCGGCAAATTTGCGTTACCAAACTGAACACTTGCTGAACACAATTATTTCACTCTTTTGTGTGAATTCCTATTGAAATAACGGGATTTTGCAGCACCTTTAATCAGGGTAGACGCCATATTTAATTAGATGCCAGTGAAAGGTCTTTTGGATTGTGTGTTTGACAAAACATAAAAATTGTCTTTTCAAAAAATCTGGATTTTTTTTTTTTTTTTTTTAAATGTAGATGCCTTGGTGACCTAAGACAGTAGACCTTAGTCAGGGTAGCGCCATATTTAATAGTTTTGACTGGAATGAAAGCGCGGCTGTGAGGGAAAGAAGTACAGTATTTGCAGTGGATGCTGTTGTTCATTAACATGCCAAATGTCTAATGAAACATCTTACAAAAACAACTCTCAGTAAACAAAAACTCATAACAGTTTTGAAAATGACATGTGACCTAAAGCACGGTACTGAAAAACCTGGAAAAGTCATGGAATTTTAATATAGCAATTTTCAGGTCTGGAAAAGTTTTGGAAAAATAAATAAACCCAGAAAGTTTTGGAAAAGTCATGGAAATTTGTTCACAAATATCTGTAAAATAGAATGTTTAGTTGATAATATTGGTTAAACAAATTACAATACTTAGCATTCGGGCAAACAGTCACGTGACGTTTGCGTGGAGTAACATCTGGCACAGTCGCAAGCTTGTACTTGTGATTAAAACAAATAGCATTAATAGTTATTAATTTTAGTTATGATATGATACATTTGAACATGGATTTTTATTATTTTACATTTATACATAGACTTTCATGGAACATTAGGTAATTAGGAACATTTCATAGAACATTTCGTGGTAAAAATGTGTATGAATCCTGTTTATGCAATGCATGCCATTGTAAAAACACAGGCTCTTTTTCATCCGCAAAAAAATCAATATGGCGCCTACCCCCTGACTAAGGTCTTGAAGATCCATTGACCGCACTGTATGTCTGTTCCTTACAGCCTCATTTCCATTAGTGTAAAATTTAATATGGCATCTAACCTCACAAAGGTCTGTTCTTTTGTTAGTCAATGGACTAATAAACATTGAGGCATCTCATTCGTATTGAAACATCAGCAGACGCCAGAAGGGCAAACTAAATTGGTCGTCCCGGCGTGCGCCTGGCGCTCGCTGCAGGTTGTTGTTCAGGGGCGAGGTATAGTCGAAGAGGGCCAGATGGGCAGTGCCCACTTGGTGCCTGGCAAACAGACGAGCGGTAGAGCGGGATGAGGGGGGAGAGAATGGGCAAGGCTGCAGACCTGGTGTCAGTTGAAGGGCTTTCTTCATCAACCACTGGGGTCCATCTGAAAAACCTGCTGATGTCAGTAAGACCCATTCAGGTAGGTCAAATCCCCACTCCCCTCCCAACTCCACCACTCACTGTCAGGCCTGTCTACTCACCCTGGAAAGCTGATACGATCAGTGCAATTTACTGTGAAACAGCTTAACCCCTTTGTGAAAGTTAGTGCGGTTAATGACACGCTGTCAGTACAGTATCATAAGATTGGCACTGCATTCTTCTGCCCTTGGTGTTTGTCTCCTTGGAAACATTTTCAATTTCTCATAATTTGAAGTGTCTTCTAAAAAAATTCACATTTTTCTGAAAATTTGTCTGCTGGATATAAATGCTCTTTTATCTCTACCTTAATTTACGTATTTTGTTATAACTTTAGGTTCAATTTGTAATACGTTAGGTATCATGCACTAACCATGAACAATACTTTTACAGCATTTATTAATCTTGGTTATTGTTGATTTCTGCATACTAATATATTAGTTATTTTATGATCAACAAACATGAATTAACAATGACCAATAGTGCACTATCATTCAAAAGTTTAGGGTCAGTAAGTTTTATATGTAAGATATATATATATTTATAAAACGGTTAGTTCCAATCCTTGATTCTGATTGGTCAATAGCTGTGCTTTATTCACGATAAAACACGGCTATGACCGCTTCACCCAACGGTTCTATGTATCACTACACAACACCCCTAGCAACCACTCTTAGCAACTTAAACAGATGTTTCATCTCATTGATATTGTTCATTTAAAGCTAGAGCAGAGCATTGTGAGAGATCGAGTAAGCGAGTGTACCTGCATTTACAGTAGACGTAGCATTTTCCTTCAGGTCAGTCCTATATTCATAATAAAAAAATGCGTTTGAATGTCCGCTGCATATTTTGTCCTTTTAACAGTCATGGGGTTTTCCGTGCATAACGTTAGTCATCTGTCAGTTGCGTCTGTCTTCTCCGTGATCACAAGTTCGAGTCCTTTCAAAAGCCTTCTCTACAGACTCACTCACTCACTCACTCATAAAGACAGTCTTTGCCGCCATCTATTGGCGAAATAATATATGTAACTTCTGTTGCTGTTCACGTTCCGGGACTATTTTTTCCAGCGGAAGGCAGGCTTTTAGTGATTTTACTTCATGAAAGTTGCATAGATACATATTTTTCGGCTTTAATATTTTTATTGTGTGGCAACCGTTTTATAAAAGCAATAAGGTACTCGAGGCAAGTGCTGTATCGTGAATAAGTAACGGCTGAAGGGGTTGCAGGCACTCCGCTTCGCGTCGTGCCTAACAACGCCCTCCAGCCGTTACTTATTCACGATACAGCACAGCCTCTCGTACCTTATTGCTTACATATATATATATATATATATATATATAAAATTAATTTTTTTAAGTCTAATGCAACAAATACTAAAAAAAATAAAAAATGTATAATTGTGAAATATTATTACAATTTCAAATAGCTGTTTTCTATATTTTAACCCTGTGATGGCAAAGCTGATTTTTCAGTAGCTATAGTGTCATGATCCTTCAGAAATCATTCTAATACACTACCGTTCAAAAGTTTGGGGTCGGAACGATTTTAAATACTTTTAAAAGAATTCTCTTCTGCTAACCATGGCTGCGCTTATTTGATTAAAAATACAACAAAAATCAGTTATAGTATTAAATATTATTCCAGTGTAAATCAGCTGTTTTCTGTGTGAATATATAGTAAAGTGTAATTTATTCCTGTGATCAAAGCTGAATTTTCAGCATCACCAGTGTCAGTGTCTTCAGTGTCAAATGATCCTTCACAAATCAGTATAATATGAGGATTTGATGCTCAAGAAACATTTATTATTATTATCAATGTTGAAACAGTTTTTGGTCTGTCAGTTGTACAGTTTTTTTTGTGTGTTTTTTAGGATTCTTTGATGAATAGGAAGTTCAAAAGACTTTTGTAACATTATAAATGTCTTTACTGTCACTTTCGATCAAATTAATTATTCCTTGATAAATAAAAGTATTGATTTCTTTCCTCCAAAAAATAAAAATAAAATTCTCACTGACCCCAAACTTTTGAACAGTAGTGTATATGCTGTGAATGAGCATTTCTTATTATTGTCAATGTTGAAAACAGTAAAAAACTGGAGTTGTTTTTGTGTAATCTGTCATAATATTCTTAGGATTTTTTTGATGAACAAAAAGTTAAAAAAAAAAGCCTTTAAAAATAAAACACTCACTGACCTCAAACTTTTGCACATAAAGTGTATATTTATAAATTAGAATGACCCTTTATTAATTAAATGCTGTTATTATTGTTCATTTTTATTTCATGATACCAAATGTATTAGCTAATGTTATTGAATTTAACCTTGATATAGTGTTACTGTTAAGTGCTTTTTATCCATGCCTTAATTTACATCCATCACTATGAACTTTTATGAACTATTATGGCCTATTAAATTAATCATTATTAACTCCAATTATCATGCAAGAAACCTAAATGAAGCAATGGAGTTACAGCACTACAGAAAAAGTAAGAAAGACAAGTGAGGAAAGACAGGTACGATGTGGCCACACGTGAGATTAAACTCGAAAGAAACAATGTCACTATCAGAAAGAAACCCATTACACAATACATTTTTAGAAAGGAAGTTGATGTGGAGACTGTCTGATAAAGTCTCTCGTTTGACCTAACAGTATGTGGCATCTTCTCTACTGGATCTGACGTCTGGTTTATCTGTTTTGAGAGAACAGAATAAATGTTTGGCTTTGCTATGTAATTATTCGTAATGCACAAGCCCCTCAGATGACTGAGCAGGAAGTAAGAAGCTCTGAGGATGAAGTATTCCCCCATAGTTCCCCATCCTTACTGCAGCCAATCACCTGCTGTTGCCTGGTCTGTTGATGTGCCTGTCAGCACAGTATGACTCTATCCCTGGTGTACGCGGATCTAAAGGCTTGACGGGGTTGAGAGGCGTTCGGCTGTCATGTCGTGCATTACTGCACAGAGAGTGAGAGGTGATTGTTCACTCGCTGACACGGAGGCATCATAGCACTGCCTTGAGCAATGCTTGCATGGCAGTCATCTGAATCACAGCTTTCATATGTGTTTTGTATGTGAGTAGGTGTGTTTTCTTTCTTCCAGATTAAACCATTTTTCCCCCTTGTGGCTGTCACTATGCATTATATTTGGTTAGCTGATAAGCTACTTGGCTGTTCATTTAATTAAATAAAAACGTAATTATAAAATGAGGATTAAGAAATTAGTTTTGAATGAAAGTAGAAATTACGCCATCACTTATCATGGTGTTATTACATAAGATGGTAATCCTATCATTACTGGGATTAGTGTTCATAATGTTCTTTTTCACTTATCTTAACATTTTGTGACTGGAATAGTCTTGGTAAGATATGAAGGCATATTGCTGTTCCCGATGCTGCGTATCCTAATTTCATAAAGCTCCGCTAGAGGGCAGTCTTAGTCGACTTGTTGAGGTCTAGGTAAGGCTGAATACAGAAAGGTCAAGAGGGACAATTTGCTATGCTATTAGTTACACTTCTTATATTTTATGGGTGTGGGTATTTGATGAGTTACTTTAAAACAATTATTTCTAATTGTTTGTTTATTGTACTCTTCAGAGATGAAATCAATTTTAAAATATTGCCTTTAAAACCTTTTAAAAAAAACAAAAAAAAAACCTTTCAGCTGCATTGCATGTATTTGATTGAAAATACAGTAAAAACAGGAATACTGTGAAATAATAGTTTTAAAAAATATATTTTTTCTATTATACATTTCTAATATACTTATTTGGTACTCAATAAACATTTCTTATCAACGTTGAAAACAGTTATATATATATATATATATATATATATATATATATATATTTAATATGTATTATATATGATATCTTTTTTCAATCTTTGATAAATAGAAAATTCAAAGAACAGCATTTATTTTAAATAGAAATCTTTCATAACATTATCAAAGTCTCTGCTGTCTCTTGATCGATTTCATCCATCCTTTCTAAAATGAAAGTATTCATTTCTTTTGAAAAATAAAGTTAAATAAAGTAAAACATTTTAGTTTTAGAGTAGCCTATGTATTTAGCATTCACTGAATCCATTGTAGATGTGATCAATGAAACAATCTGTGCGTGATTCATTTAGCAACATCCGCGGTGACAGGATGGGATCTACACTAAAGTCGTTTTCAAGTATTTGCTAGATGTTAAGATCTATACCACCCACAGCGTCCTGCAGTGACCAAACAGCTACCTGGAATGTTAAAACGAGCGGCTATTACATGCAACATTGATTCTCAGTGGCTTCTAATGAGCTGGCGGTTTTATGATGTCACAAGCATTACAACAACACCACTGACCCTGACAAGCAGCAGGCCCACTGTCACCCTATAAAAATGGGCCGAGTACACTACTGGAAGGGGATAATGGGCGCCAGCCCAACATCATTACTTTTTAATGAGTGTCCCACAGGGGTCATACCTTTGATCTGACCTTTTAAACCTTCTTTTGACACAGGTGGCTGTCAGGGGAAACGAACGCAGTGCTTTCATGTAAGTAGACTCCATATTAGTTTCCCAGCATGTTCTCGTTTCAATCATATTTGTTTATGTGGTATTGGGTACCATATACCATGATGCTCTTTTTTTTTTCTCCTTTTGTCTCGGATATTATAGACCCTTAAGTTCCGGTGTGAGAACAGAGCCTGTTACTGATCAAACCTGTGTCAACTTCATAGTAAGACTGAACCGCTGAATCTCTCGGAGACCAACCCTATCCAACATGCTGAGTAGAATATTTTCAGTGTTCTCCCAGTTTTGGCAACATTTTTGTTAGGATGTGATATTTGCCTTTTTTGTGATTGTTGAAGACAGTGGTTTGACAGTTGTTTACATTTTGCTCCTTGGTTTTCATTAAAAACAAACACTACTTGCATGGTCCTGGATGGCTGTTCATCTAATTTAGCAGAACATTTAAGAAACAGTTATATTGAGTAACTTTTGTGCAGTCACTCTTACTTATGCATTATTCCTCATACATGTTTTAAAATTTAAAACAAATTGCAGATAAAAATGACCTATAAAAACAAAGGCACATTATGATGGAGAGAATAGCCTGTTCAAAACTGCCAGTAATGATAAAACACCTGTTTTCTATTTCCCCCCAACAATATTAGCTAAAGCACCGTATTTGAGACAGGCACAGTGGTGTTTTTCATCTAGGGACCCCACAAGATCATTTAAAACTTTTAGAACAGCCGCAATGGTGTTTTTTTTTTTTTTTTTTTTTTTACAAAATCCTGATTTTTATGAACATGTAAGTTTATGTAGATACGGTGTCAGTTGTTCTCTAATGAAAGTTTCCAAAAGTTTTGACAGAATACAAAGCTTTGAAATAGGTCTGTATTTGTCTAATAAAGTAGAGTCGCCCCCTTTCAACAAAGGAACCACGAATGCAGACTTCCAGATCCGTGGAATTGCCTTGGTTGTTAAGGAAAGATTAAAGAAATATGTCAATGGTGGTGAGATGATATCATGATATCATGATAGCCAATTTGAAACACAATAGTTCTATACGATCAGGACCCAACAATTGAATATTGAATATCATATCGTTTTTTTTATCTTTCTGATAAAAGCCTGCCTTTGCCACATGGTTTGACTCATGCAGCTGTCTAGCACCATCTAGTGGCCAAATTCATTGATCTTTTTTCAGTCTATTAATCAATTGTGCTTTAATTTTTTACATTTTTAGAGTATTTGAAGATCTTTTAAGCAGTTTAAAATGTGATATTAAAGTTTAATTTTTTTTATAACTTCTCTAAATATATTCAAGCAGGCTGTTCATAATTAGTTTAGATTTTTTAAATGGTTATGTTTGATGAGCTTCATGCTCTGTGTATCAATATATTATTTCTTAGGCGATTGTGGTTTGAAAAATTGTAGGCTAAATTCTTGTTTAATCCTATTCCTTAGACAATTTGAGAATTCAGTTTTTTATAAATTCAGTTATGTTTTCAAACACTGATGAAGCTGTTGAATTGATTTAACTTTACAAAAAAAGATTGAACGAACGAATACCTTCCATCTGAAATCACACTGAAAGAATACGTGGTTCACTGCTTCTTAGATACAACAAGACCGCCTCATCTATTGTGCTCCGTCTTTTGCTTGCAACAGATGTTGCATTCTGAAATATTTTCCAAGACTCTAACGTCTTGTCTTAGGGAATGTCAACATTTGCAGAGAGTGGCCCTGCTCTAATCCGGCAGACTGTGGGATAGAGGGAGGATTAGGGGCTAGTTTGTTTTCCTGGTCCCCTGGAATGTTCCTTTAGCAGTGCTTTTGTACCTGGGCCGGGCCCAAGGTCATCCCTCTGTCTCCACGCAGCTCCTTTTGTGTCTTCCAGCAAGTCTCAACCACACAGAGTCAACACCGCTCCCTCCTCAAAAGCAGAATGTGAGTGGAATTTCAATCCTTGTCGCAACACTCTTTAAATGTTACTTACTTTTCTCATTAAGCAATTTGAGTCCCCCTCCCCACCACTACCACCAATGTTGTGTTTGACTAAAATGTTGAGGGGGAAAAGATCAGCATACCAGTGTATCTCCCAGCCTGTCTGCATCATTCATCACAGGTTTTGTGCCTGGTGTCTGATTGAAGTCTGATGGATTAACTGACTCAGGTGGGCAGTGTTATTGAGCTAGTCACTGCTTGAACTTGTGCCAAAGTTGAGCTTCATTGCTTTCAATTATTTTAGAGCTTTACGTGAATGAGCCTTTCCACATCTCTACATAAGCTCTTGTATAATAATGAGTTGAATGGCCTTTGAATCATCTCCATTCCCGTCTACAGAATGCCTTGCATGTTATCCGAAATTTACCAATATGTGCAGTTGAAACGGTGGTGTTTTTTCTATACTAAGCCTTTTTGTGGCTATTTTCTAGACTAAAACGGTCTCAGACTTCTTGATATTTCTTCCAAGACTGTTCAGTACTTTTTAGGAATATGTCTTGGTCATGTTGAGCTTGATTTTACTATACCAGGGAGCCTTCAAAATTATTGATTTTTTTTAAAGGCATATATTTGGTACATCTGTCAGGCTAACTGCCATGGAAATCCACTAACAATCATGTCAAAGGTTACATAGGGATTAACATGTCAATTAACTGCTTTATTCTTGTAATTCACAAGGTGTTCTTTTCTTTTAGCTTCAGATCTGCATAGTAGTTATCTATCTTGTTGGCTTTTTCATTCAATATGCAAACTTGACCAACCCAAAGGAGTGTCTACACTCTTAAAAAGAATGGTTATTTATTGGCACATCCACTGAACCTTTCCACAAAAGGGTCTTTATAGTGGAGGTTCTTTAGATTAGTAAAATGTTTTACTCAAAGGAAAACAAATTATTTTAAGAACTATTCACTGTAAGGTTCTCTGGGAAACCAAAAATGGTTATTCTGTGGCATCCCTACAAAACTCCCTTTTGGATCCTTTCTTTTAAAGAGTGTAATAGTATGTGAGTATGTTGGGTGGTGACTTTAATATTTTTAAAAAAAGCTTCAAATACAATGTCTCCACAAATTTCAAACCTAAGGATAAACTTCCTCTGTTGTTCGAGAAAAGATGCGCTGATGTTGCTTGTCGTCATAGGGAAACTTGGAGCACACAGTCTGTCAGAGCCGTAAAGACCCAGTAGATGTCGCACTACATACGCCTTACACATACTCGTCTCTTACTGTGGACGTTACAAGCATCATGTGTAAAATGCATATTTTGTAATTAGGATTGGTTATCAGAATGGTGACTAACTTACACTAACGCTTTGAAATTGTTGATCTGGGTTTTTATTAATAGACACAATAGGCCTACTTCCTAAGTGTTGTCGAAAGTCTTGCTGAAACATTGGCGATTAAGGGTCGAGGCCAGATGATCATGCTATCAAAAAGGCTAACGTTAGCACTATGCCTCGATTTTAAGTAGGCCTAACGTTAGGCATTTAGCTGCTACGGGTTTGCAGTCTTATTCGAGATTTTGCTTTTCCAAAAATATGAGCCCAACCCGAACTTAATGCGCTTGTTTATTGAACCCCTCAAACAAACAAAAAAACACAGATTAGTCAGTGGGAAAATAAAACATAGGTTAGCAGCTACGTCTAATCCAAATTCTGAAGTTTGTCTTTTCAATTCCTAAAACATTTAAAAGTGAAAAATACCTTTACCACTGTTTGCGCGGGGGCGAATTATGAGGTTGGTGGAGGGAGCTAGGGGACCTATTTTTACATACAAGTAAACAGCGTTTTCAAGCGAGTTCGTAAAGTTAGATTACAAGTTAGTCAGGGCAAAGTGCACGAAGTAGTCGGCAGCGAACTAAAGTCGCGCTCCCCCCAGGTGTAACCTAGCAACAGAAGGCTGCTCGAGCGGTTTCCGTTATCACTTTGTTATAGTATTTCAAGAAAATAACACAAATATTAGCATTTTAAGTTTTAGTTTAAAATACCTTTAAAATATTTGATGGTAAGCTAACTTTTTCGCAAGAAGACATTTTAACCCCAAATTAAAAGTCGACCTCTGAAGGTCATTGATTAATTTACACTTCGTACCATGAATTTATTTTGAGGAACGTTACTTTTGTCAAGAAATTTACATTTAAACAAAAAACTGTTAGTGTAGTGAATAGGCTACACAAAAACAATGACACGTGACATAATGGCATGAACAGTTCGTTGATACATCGCAACTGTTTAAATAAATTTATCACGCTTCCGTACTTGGCACTATTTCAAATAACGAAATATGATTCTGTAAATACTTTTAGATCCGTCAAAAATCTAATAATATACAAATCTGTGTATAAAAATATAATTTTTGAACGCCATCCTATGCTTAGCCTATCCAATATAACAGAACAGTCATGTAATTTCAATACTTTCTCTTATTTCCTATACTCTCTTTTATGTTTCACAAAATGCACAAAAAACGGTCACATGCTTGAATCGGCGTGTAGCCTACGTTTTCAGAAACAGATAATCCAATACAAATAAATTATTGAGTGAACACTTTAAGGCTTTTCTTACAGAAAATAAAGATAGGCTACATTTGAGTCTGATGTCCACGTAGTGATAGGTACACTGTAGGCTATAGCTGCAGTCTCAACTTAAATGTGAAATCCCGAGTGGATGGAAAGAGTCTCTGTCCAGCAGCCAAGATCCGATGTGAAACAGCATATTTGAGTACCAGTGGATGCCGTCCTCCTGAAAAGTGACGTTTGAATCACGAGCCGGAAAAAGCCACGTCATCATCTTGTGACTTAACCTGACCGGTACAAAAGCCCAATGTGCCAATGTGTGGTTCTCAATAACCGCGTAGCACGAAGCCAGCACCTGATTCACTATTATAGTTCCGTGAGCTGTGACTGGCGCGTAAGAGCCCTCGTGCTCTTCATTGTAAATCCTCTTTACGGTAACGCTCTTGAGGGTCCTGCGTGTGTCATCCGACACCAAAACCTTATCTCCGGGCTTCACGTTGCTTGCAAATGTTGCCGTTACACCCAAACTAGCTGAAGCGTTCCCGATGAAGACTAGGTGCGCGGCTGTGAGGGTCAGCTTTGTAAAAGGCTCTGACGTCTCGATGACGACGAATTGCCTTTTCGTTTTCGGATCGTGGTCCATGAACATAATGAAGTCGCTAAATAAGACATTTCCTCTCTCGTCGGATGCTAAAACCCGGTCGCCCACTTTAAGATCTCTGATATGTTTCCTCATCCCGTCTGCAAGTGTCACTGTACCCGTTCCAGGAAAACATCCCCCTGATTTAGCAGCGACCGAATTCTCTGCGATAAAAGTAAAAATAGACAATTTAGGAATGTGTATATTTGTTAAGCTTTTAAAAAAAATGCTTTGACAACGGGTTTGACATGGTGGTGATATGGAAACAAATCGTGTAGACTAAAGCAGCAAGGGTTGAAACGCTGTCTGGTGATTCTGGCTCCTGAATTGACACAAAAGTGATCAGACATTGTCATTTAAATTGAGCCTACAGACTTTGTTTTTCCTTGATCCCTTTAGTGTTGTATAACTGTTTACACAGGTGCAGAAATCCCAACGTGCCAATTCGCGCAGTAACTGCATTACACTTAGCAGCATTTAACACTTCTTGTAAGGGGTTGTCATTATGTGTTATTTCAGCTGCTCTTGGTTAGAAAACAATTAATTTATTGATAATTATTTTCATATTATGATCTTTTTTTTCCATATTCACAAATTATTACCCTGTAAAATTTAAAAAAATGTATGAGGCACCATTTTGGAATTTTTGATATAAGATCTCAAAACTTGGAAACTGTATTTGAGGTAGGCTAACAGAGTGCCAAGAGTGATGCCTCAAGCCTATTTTTCAGGCTATTTGCTGAAGTTCTTGATGTTTCTCAAATTATATACATTATCACATAAATAGACTGAGATATTTAAATTATGCATCTATATAACATAAGCTGCATGTATTATGTCAGCTATAGGCTAAAAGTGACATTGTTCTCACCTGCTTTGACGGAGCAGTGTATGTGGGCTTTAGATTCGTAATAGACCCAGTCGAATCCTGCCTCCACTGCAAGCCTAGATAGCATCCCATACTTGCTTTTATCCCTGTCTGAGGTAGTAATGTCCACTGCGCGTCCCTCGTAGTGCAAAGATTCTTCGGAATGGTGACCATCCTCATCCCAGCCTTCAGTGACGCGCAGTTTCACGCCCGGCCACTGGTTCATAACGGATATGGCCAACGAATTTAACTTGTCCTTACAGCGCTGAATGAGTGAGAGAGGAAGGTTGTCAATACTCACAATACATGCCCTTTTAAAGTGTCAGAAGATTTACTGAACATTTAGAGGTAAAAATATAAATAAATAAAAAGTATGCCCAAAAGGGTCTTTCGGTTCTCCTCTCCAAGTCATCACTGCAACTTATCCAACAAAAATGTTTGTTCTTCGCTATGTATGCATACGACTATACAGTGACCTTTATGTTGTTTCTGTGTGTTTAAAACAAATGTTCTTGCAAAATGCTAAATACAGCCTACATCTAAAAAGGAATTACTGGTCAATTGATGCAATCATTTCAGAATTGGGTTGATTTTAAATAACTGCCAGTCAGCCACAGTTGACATCAGTTTTGTGCGATGGAGAGATCGTTTATTGCCACATAGGTCAAAAGCGCAGACTCCAGACCGACCGATCGATAACCGAGAGGAGTAAATAGAGCTGAAAATTCAAGTTCTTTCTCTCAGCATGTGCATGAGTAATCAATTACAGAGACGTTGCCACCAATGAATCGCTAAACTGCTGATTATTCTATGGCACTGTGGACGTGCATTTTTGTACTGGGGCAATTAAGTTGCTTGCTTTGATGCTGGAGATTGCGAGTGAAAACGTTTTGTAATTGGCTTCAAGTAATTATCCTAAAACATTTTAATCAGAGAAAGCAGTCGAGCAGCTGAGTGAATGGCAACAAAACGCGCTCGCCACGGGAGCCGGTATTATCCAATACTACGTGCAACATCAGTGACAAAGATCTCGTCTGACCCATATTTTCTATTAAGTAAACAATAAAAGCAGGTCATAAGGTGTATTCATGAACACACACGCAGAAGTGATCTTGAGGGAACGAATTAATTGATCGGGCAGACCAGAGGAAAAAATATATATTACGCAATGCGATGTGTGGAGGCGGGATGTTTCGTGTATTTAATTATGTTATTAACTGTCAGACGCCTTGCTTGATGAGAAAAAAAAAACTTATGCTCAGCAAATGCTTTTCACCACTAACACCAAATTATCCAACGGTGCTTATTTTGCACTAATGTCAAAGATAGACTATCATGCTAATTTCCAGGGCAGCGAATAGTAGGCTAATTGTTAATTCAATTAAATGTAATATTAATATTGAAGTCAAAATACAAAAAAACATAAAGCTCGCGCGTTTCATGTAAAGTCTTAAGTAAATGTTCATATTGAGAATATCACTTAAGCCCAGCTGCCTGGTGAAAATGTTATAGCCTACACTGCTGTGTCGGATTATCAACAGTTAAAGTTTTAGTTTTACCGCGCGCTGTCAAAGTGCCAGGAAACCAATATAAAGGTTCTGTTACAAATTTGTACAGCCTGATGAAATATAACAACTTATTAGAGTTACACCAATAATTTTTTATTCTCTAGTTATGCAATAAAACATCCCTGCTCTGTTCTGGTGGGTTAAAGAACACAAGAACCCATAATGCAATATCAATGGTTTTTTTTACAATCTCCAAAAAGCCATATCGGAAATTCATTTTTTTTAACGGCCAAAACTTGAGATCCATTATTTATGATAGTGTGCGTCTGGGTAATTACGCACGCATGAGTCCATACCTTGGTCATCAGTCTGTCCGCGTTTGTGTTTTCCTCGTCTTTAAAGATGATATCGGGATTATAATTCGGAATCAGCTCATTAAATCTTTCTGAATCCTTTGTGATTTTGCCTTCGTGTTTTCCGCTGGCCCCAAGCGTTTTCTCGGCGACGTTGGGAATGAATTGCTTGTAAGCCAACGGGGTTAATTTCTTTGGGTGTCTTCGGTTTCCATACCCTCTACCAGGACCACAGGCTAATCCACAAGGCGTCAGAAGCAGGCTGATAAAACACAGACAAGCAATTTGCTTCAGATGCAGCCTTACGTCCATGACGTTAAATGATCTCTTCGGATCTCTAAAGTTTAGTCACTCACAGGGTCTTCTCGCGCGTGCCGGATGGATGCTACCCAACGACCACTACCGAAGCAGGTGCAATAACGACCGCTCTCGATAGCCACTGACTGAGCACATTGGAGGTTGGCTGTCACTGCTAAGTGGGAGACGAAAGAGGGACTTAGTTTGACGGGAGGTAGGGTCAGACGCTTATGAGTAGAGGCAGTCTACCCATATGAATTACAGAGCAAATCTATGGCAGAGGGAGGGAGTCTATTGACTTGACGGAGTGCCGTCCAACTATGATGCCTTTCGAGAAAAGACTGTCTCCATACCTCCTTCATTTCTGCAGAAATGTCACTCACGTTGCCATGGTAAACTCTAGGTTTAATGTCAATAAAATTGTTATTAGAAGCAGTTTCGAATCAGCAGAAATAACAAATGGTTATAAAAATGATATTTTAAAGAAACGAAAATATCATCAGAATTGCATTATTTTAAATCAGCCCTTTAAAATACCTTCTACCCCTCTTTTTAAAACTGTGTCATAAATCAAGGTCACTGGATCCTGCTTCTTAACAGATTATTAGTATTGTTTGATTATAGGTTAATGTACAAAAGTTGACATACTTGGACATGGTCATGATTTTAAGAAGAATTGTTTAGATCTGGAAAAAAACCCCCCATTAAATTACTCATATTCTTTTGTTGTCTCTTCATTCCTTTACAATGACTGTCTAATTTTATTATTATTCTTTTTTTTAGTCAGACTTCTCTTCAAGGCTGGTGTAGACTTCATGAAGCCTGTTTCAGCGAAGTGTAAGTCACTCGCAGATCCAAAAGCTGAGTTACACTGTTGGCCGTTGTATCTTTTACACTCATCCGTTTTCTGTTTGTCTTTGGTAGGGAATAATCAGGGCATCCAAAGTCCAATCATTCATTCCTGTCCTAAAGTTTAGATCCTGCATGCCATCTTAGACTGTGGGCTAAATTACCCACTCCTCCTATTGACTATTTTGCCTTTATAAACTATGTCTACCTCATAATGTTAATAGAAAATCTTGTAATAAAGTAAAAGTTCCCATCATCAAGATGATCATAAAGCACTTTTGACTGCTGAAATGTTTATTGTGTGTTGAGTTTGGTTGTTAATATGCGGTTGTTTGTGCTGCTTTAGTAAAAATATCAGCATCTTTTATTTTTCGTGACTCTTATTGAAGGGGTTTGTTTTCTCTGTATAGGCAAAATGAATAAATGGTGCATCTCTGAATTTATTACACCTACCTGGTTTGGCCTTTCAAGAGCTTCTGAAAATTGGCATGTGAGTGAGCAAAAACTCACCCTCTTGCCACTCTGTGTGGTTTGACCCACATATGACTCGGTTACACTTGAAAACGTTAAACCTTCATTTGCTAAAACAAATTTATTTATGTGACATGAATATATAGCTATACACAATTTTGTATACAAAATAAGGATTTGTTAAGAGGATATCTCAGACTATGAGATCCGTTCTGCAACAGGTGTCCCATGATAGAGTAAAGTGGCCTTTTAATCTCTTTAATCAGAAATATATATATATATATACAAATAAATAATTTTGATATTTATGATGTTTAGATGTTCAGCTTAAAAGATAAACCAACATATTTGTTTAGAATCCAGTGCTACACACAGGCAGACACATTTATACACTTCAGTGACCTCTTTACACAATATATTTAGTCCTGCAATCACTCTTAAAAGGCTGGGGTGACCTTAACTAAAAAAAAGTTCAATTTGTGAGATGAAACCATTCTTGTTTTTGATTTAGATGGGATGATGGTGGAACAGGACGTCCTTGCATCATTTGGCTGTTCTGGCAACAAGCGCTGTCAATCCTGAAAGCTCTCAGTGAGACATGCTTTAATGAACAGACTCTTCAATGTTAGGACTGAATTCTCAGCTTCCTCTGATAAAGACAAACCTTTTCACATTGCAGTAAGTACAGACATTCACATTAACAAGTGAGGCTAAGTAGGCCAGTCCATTAAATCGGACAATATTTTGTTACATGTTGCCTGTTTGGCCAATCAGATCTGTTAGTTAGGGCGTACTCACACTAGGCATTGTTGCCAGCACATGCGTTCTGCGCCCGAGCCTACCTCTTCAAGCCAGGCCATGCAGGGTATGGTATGGCGAGATCACACTAGTCAAACGAACCAGACTTTTGGGGTCAAACGTGCTCGGGCACGGTTCAGATCGCCAAGTGTGAGTACACCCTTAGTCATTTGTGTCAGAATTGAATAAATACTGGATTAAATTAAATTTAATGTCATATATATGCAAACTTATGAACAGAACTGTGTGTATATATAGGCCTACTGTATGGCCAAAGGTTTACATACACCTTGCAGAATCTCCAAAATGTTAACTATTGTAACAATATAAGAGGGATAATGCAAAATGCATGTCATTTTTTTTATTTAGTACTGTCCTGAATAAGATATTTTACATAGAAGACATTTACATATAGTCCACAATTCAAAATAAAAGTTCCGTTTATAAAAATGACCCCATTCAAAAGTTTACCTACACTTGATTCTTAATGTCTCGTTAACTGGATGATCCACAACCCTTTTTTTTTTATGGTGGTTCACTCTTTCCAGCAGTGACTGTATGATTTTGAGATCCATCTTTTCATACTGAGGACAACTGAGGGACTAATACATGACTATTACAGAAGGTGAAAAACAATCACTGATGCTCCAGAAGGAAACATGCGGGGTGAAATCTTTTGAACAGGATGAAGATGTGTACAATTTTCTTATTTTGTTTGAAGATCTTTTTTTTTTTTTTTACATTTAGTACTGCCCCTCATAAGCTACAGAAGATACTTGTTTCCCAGAAGACAAAACAAGTACAATTTACCCTGATCTTCAAATTCAAAAAGTTTACACCCCCTGGTTCTAAATGCATCGTGTTTTCTTCTGGAGCATCAGTAAATGTTTTCATCTTTTGTACCGTAATAGTATATTGTAATTTGTATATAGTCCCTCAGTTGTCGTCAGTGTGAAACATTGATCTCAAAGTCATACATTCACTGCTGGAAAGGGTTCAAATATGCTGAAGAAAACTGAAGAATTTGCGGGACCTGGAGGATTTTTCTGAAGAACAGCAGTTTAACTGCTAAGGACAAACAACGAACTCATGAACAACCATCACAAAACATAAAAACAGTCGTTGATCATCCAGGTAACAATTCTCAGTATTAAGATGCAAAATTTTGAATGATTAATTTGTGTAAATATATATGCTATGTTGTTAACGGTTTCTGAAAGCAAATTGCATTGCGCTGTATAGTATTTAAATTTTTCTGCATCACAACATGCTTAAACATGAACAAGGATTAGCAGTTTGCTATAATAACTGTTGAAATCACTATAAGTTGAGTATTCAACCCTCTGGCCTTTGAAAATGCTGGATTTTATTTAGCCGTGCCTCAGTTTTAGTTGTTTCATGGTTTTATGTAAATTCTCAGTGCCGACCATCCATCTGGTCAGGTCTAAAAGACATACTTGAACCAGTCTTTTTAGTCCTTTAAAATACCTGTGGACGGATGGGTCACTGGACCAGTTAAGCTGTTTCAGATAGGTATGGTTTATTCTTGTCGGCCAAAAGGCCATTCACATCCACAGGAAATACCTGGCTTTACTAATGGGAGGCCTCCTTTTTAAGTTTTGACGGACCCTTGTAAATGTTATGGCCTTCCTATATCTGGTTGTGAGACTTGTAGTGGTTTCTGACAATGGTTACAGAGTTATACAGGGACCTCTTGAATGTTGCAGAGCAATGCGACAAAGCAATGTCATTCTCATAGAAATGCTCTGAGATTTTCATCCTCATTTTGCAAGGTTGCATGACTTGAACCCATTAGTCTGGTAGGAAGGGGGGGTTCACCTGCACCCGAAAGGTATATTTTTTTAACCTAGTTTTTTGTAATCCTTAAGGTGTCTAGAAAAGGAATTTTGATGTTCCCCACGCAAATTATTGTCCCATATGTGATTTTTTGTATCATCTTTTGTGTCCGTGCTTGATTTTTGGCTGTGGAAAATGAAAACTTTAAATCTACATAGAATCTGAACAATACATCCTACAGACACAATCTACCCCATTTTCTCTTCGTCTTTGCATGAGGAATTGATAGATATCATGAGTATTGTCATGATTAGATGATGTATAGTGCATAGAAACTCAAATAAACACAAAAAAAATGGAAAGAAATTGTGACATTGGATCACTGGAACTCCTCCCCTATGGACCCTTCTGATGTTTTCTAACTTTTGTATTTTTACAGTCTTTAGGATGTCTAAGAAGCAAATGTTGATGATCCCACCTGAAATATTGTCACATGTATGTCTTTTCTGGCTATATTGGTTGCCACCCTGGATATCCAAAAAAGCAAAAAAGAACATTTACATAGGCAGTCTGTTTTTCTCCTTTAGTTTTCGATTTGATAGATCTCCTCCATTTTTCATAACTAAATTATTGTTGAGCACATTACTGCTTGTTTCCAAAGTCAATTGTTGCACATTAAAAATATAACGTAGATATTTTAAATAAATAATACATTTTAAGATACAACGTGTTCAAATATATGCATTAATTAAAAATCATACCATGTAATTAGGATTCACTGGTAGTGTGAGGTTTATTTAACATACATTTTTAAACTAACTACACACATACATAGCCTACATGATGCACCAACACACAATTAGAAAGATCTTTCTTGGTGAAGAGCATGTAGCATTATGGAAGCCCACATTAACTGGCAGATATTGGTCTCTCCAGGTTTCTGTTAAGTTGAATTTTTTATTATTATACTTAATAATTAATTAACTATACTTTAATTATTATTATTACTGGTGAGGGAATGTGTTTCATCTCAAGTGGGACAATCTGAACAAAATAACGCAAAACATTCATGGCTCAAATGTGGTGAACTGGACCGGTGGGACCATGATACAGGTGATGAAACCTGGATTTGATGCCCCCAACTCTCTGGAAATTCCACGAATGCTCCCACTCTACGAGCGGAACAAGACACGCTCTCTTAAGGTAGACATACCTGAGACCCTAAATTCATCATAAAGTCATGATTAGATTATGTATAGTGCATAAACACTCAAATAAACACCAACAAATGGAATAAAATGGTGACATTGGATCACTGGAACTCCTCCCCTAAGGACCCTATTGATATATGTTTTCTAACTTTTGTATTTTTACAGTCTTTAGGATGTCTA